ATTGTTTGCGGATGATGTTAAAATCTGGAGAACAATAAGAAATGAGATTGATCGTTGTTATCTACAAGCAGATTTAGACGAATTAGTTAGGTGGGCTCATGATTGGGGCCTGGAAGTTAATTCCAGGAAGAGCGTGTTCATGCACATCGGGCACGATATTAGTTGCCACTATACCATTAATGGTACATCTCTGCCACGCGTTCATACGCATAAAGACTTAGGAGTAATTATAAGTCACGACTTAAAAACTACTACGCACTGCAGTGCGGTTGCTTCCAAAGGCTATCGCGCGCTATGGTCGCTTCGCAGAGCATTTAAATGCTTTGACGAGGATATGTTTCGAATTTTATATCCCACCTATGTAAGGCCACACTTAGAATACTGTATCCAAGCAGCTAGCCCTTGTCTGATAAAGGATACTAAATCGCTTGAGCGTGTCCAGCGTGTAGGGACAAAATTAGTAAAGGGTCTTTCCAAACTCCCTTACGATGAGCGTTTAAAACGTCTAAATCTTTTCCCCTTATCTTATCGTAGGACGCGAGGTGACCTTATACTGGCATTTCGTATCTTTAATTATGATCTGGGTGTTAATATGTCTTACCTTTTTGCTCCCTCCAGCACTAATAATCTCCGGGGTCATAGCAAGAAGGTTCAGAAACCGCGATCTAGTAAACTAAAGGTGGGTTCCAGTTTTTCTCATCGAGTGGTCAATGACTGGAACGCTTTACCAGAACAAGTGGTATCAGCACCATCAGTGAACATTTTCAAAAAGAAGCTGGACCTTCACTGGAAGGAAATCTGTCAGGATTAACACAGGTTCATCAACCTACTATCCTTATTACTGAAGACTGAAGACTGAAGATATGAAAGTCGACAGTCAGCTGACAAGTAATTTGTTCTGGTGTTGTGGACATTTTTGGAGTATCTTGGTCAATTCTCTGTTTTAGAAGGCGAAAAAATAAGGGCATATCAGATGCAGATTTATCACCGTGTAATTTGAAAACTAATCAAGTCACCTTCAGTTTTTCGATATGGTAATGGAAATAGGTTTAGTTTAGCCAGTCGAGCATCACACGGTGGCCCTCACGGAGAAGGGCGCGAACCCCCCTACTGAATCATGGTGGAGAGTTTCTCGAACCCTTTGGTGTAGTCTGAGGGATGTTGGGCACAGTAACTTTTAAGTACAAATATTGAAATACATTCCAAGCTGTTTCAGTTGGGGACTCTGGCTCTATTGTCCAATCTACTGGTGATACTGAGTGTATAATATCTATATTTGCTTTCCAAACGTCAGGTCTGGGTTGGGCTGACACATGCTCGTTTTTGACAACTATGTGGAAGTCAGATTAGAACTACATGATCACTCTTACCTAGGAGTGTCATGTAATCGAGGTTCGTGACGTCATTCTTATATTGCGTCAATATAAGATTCAGTAAGGATTATTCAGAGTCCGGATCACACCTAGTCGCTCCTTTCACATGTTCCACTAGAGCACATGTGATAACCGCATCAAATAGTTCCTGCTCGAAGGAATTTTCTGAAAATTCAGTTCTCAGATCTTTCCAGACTATTATGGGTGCCTTAAAGTCTCCTAGGATTAGACATCGACCACTTTGTAACCAAGTATTGAGACCGCCTAGCAAGATCTCATTTGCCTCACAACCTGGACTACGGTAGACCAAAACAATCAGCAGCTCTTGTCCCTTGGACTTCAAGTGGCAATTATCTAATTCACACGTCTCACTCTCATGGGATACATTGTCGATAATAGTAAATGAGATAGTATTCCTAATGAATAGAGCTACTCCTCCTTTACGTTTCTGGATTCTGTCGGCTCTTACTAACGTGAAACCTTCAAAATCAAGTTCCATACTATCTATAGGCTGCTTCACCAAAGTTTTTGTGACTGCGATTACATCTGGCTTGGTAGATCGCTTATTTAGCAAGGTTCAGGCATATTTGTGACAGATCCGAAGCCGATTTAAATGGTTTCGTGTTGCACACACAGTGGCTTCGGCCTCATAACCCGAAAATTTACAATGTTTGGGTCCTTTTTGCCAGCATCTAACCTAAGTTTTAGATTTTTTCGGCTTCTCGTCTTTTTACACGGTCCTCAAGCGGCAAGTCCTTACGGACAAAAACTCCTGACCCCTTGAGCTTATGTCTATCCTGTAGTACGAAGTCTCATTCATTATGAGGTCTAAATGCTCCTTTAAGCAGCCTGGTTTGATTCTGTTTCAAGTTCATTTGGTTACCTAGTCTATATACCTTTATCAAGGTGACTCCGAAGATATTCTGGGACATTAGTTGATTTAATAGCTGTTTTGTCAACCCAATATCATGCTTATAACGAATTTCACGTTCTGGGATTTCACTCTTCTTGATTTTATGTAAGATAACTGACCTGTCACTATGATCAGTTTTTAATTTCTCGGCTACCTTTTTATTTGGGGGGGGGGCGTTCGGGCTTTCTTTAATCGCGTTATGTCGTTTTTTGCTCTGGACATGTCGTCATTCGTCGACTTTCGTTGGAAGTAGCGACCACAGTCGTGTAAAACACACTGAGATTCCAGTCAGTCAGTCAGCTACAACGTAGGACCAGGCACATTTATGCATCGGTCCAAGTTGCCATACCTCGTTAGCACAACAAGATCAACACCGGATTCATAGTAGTTAATTTAGTGGTGGTGGTAGTATATAAATTATAGGTGTTATATAAGGATATAGTACAGGAAGGAAGAAAGTTATGAAGCAATTTTAATCTCAAGGTTTAAGGGAAGATAAAGAGTGTATACACCTACGCCATTGTGATCGATTCTGAGCCATGTCACCAATAGTCTCCAACCATTGGTTACGATAGTCACGCGGACCCCAACCAGGTAGTCTGCATCTGCCAACATGGCTCAGGCTAGAAGTTAGTGACTTTCTGCTCTGATGCCATGTTTTGGTTTGGCTGCCCCTAACTCTCAACCATCCCCAATGCTAGTCATCATAGAGCGTCGTGGTAATCGGTGTTCAGGCATATGTAACACGTGGCCCAACCATCTCAGTCGATGAATATTCATGACCTCATCAACTGATTTACCATCGTTCCCTAATACCCTGTGTCTAACCTCGCTATTACTTACCCGGTTATCCCAGCCCCCAAATGCCCTGGTACGGCCGAGAGTGGGGGAGAGTCCGCTCTCCCTCTCGAAATGCTCTCACATGGCCAGCGAATATATAGCCTCTTCCAGGGAAGTCCTACTCACTGCCTTCTCGTGGCGTGGGTGTTGTTCACAAAAGTGAGAGGACGATAAGCGAATGTCCGGCGCTTTAACCGGGTTGGTGGACAAGGCGAGTCCACCTAGGGGAGTTGGAAAACCCTGATTCCAAACCAATGGTGCACATGGGCTCCAGTATCCTGAGGGAACAAGTGGCGTACGAATCAACCGTTGATCACCGGCTACCATGGGACTGCATCTCCTGACGTTGCTCCACTGCCTTGTGGATCCGACCTTCAGGTCAAAGGCTCGGAGTGTGGTCCCCTAAGAAAACCACCTGCTTCAGTTCGGGCACCTGGGCAGTATCACAGCCCTCAAGCAAATCGAATGAGATTTGTATGGCGCATATGTATCTGATGCTTCCTTGTACCAATATTTACGTGTTTAAATAAATAAATAAATAGCAGATGCGAGCAATATTTCTAAGGCTTCTGCGGTCAAATACTAGTAACCTACGAGTATCTTCTACTTTTAATGGCCATGTTTCACAGCCGTAAAGTAGAACAGAGCGAACTGCTGCGCAGTATACTCGTCCCCTAATTGATAGACGGATATCTCGTCTTCGCCATAGGTGACGTAAGTTGGCAAAAGCCGAACGAGCTTTTTGAATCCGTGCAGAGATTTCGTCAGACACCAACCCATTAGGGCTGATTCCGGTAGATTACCGACGGCTCGGGGAGTCAGGTTAATTTTCCTGCTAGAAACGTCTAGCCTTGCGACTGGGATTTTTTAGGCGCTTCCTGCCGGATACCATTTAGAGGACAAGGGAAAAAGGAAACTTCCTTTCTTGAGTTTTTATTTAGGACAGACCTCTTTGAAGTCGGTCTTTCCTCCTTTGATCCATGTAAGTCAACTGTTACTGGGCTTATTTGAGGTGACTTCATATCAACTTGTGTATCGACAGAGCATCAGTTATCGACTAAATTCTTGTTTTCCTAATTATCTTAATCTTGTTTTGATTAGAAATTATTGTCCAAATATGTGTAATACAAAAAACATGTCGATGGCGTTCTTGCAGAAGGTTAAACGACATTTAGATCCACACTGAATTGGTCACATTACAGTGCTAATTATTGGTACAGGCAATAGTTGGTCAGAAGTAGTCAGCGTTAAGCTAACGTTCTGAAAGGTTTCCAGAAACTCAGTTACTCGAAAGCACTTCTGTGAACCATTGTACAGTAATAGTATATTTGAGAAATGCTTTCAGATAACCTCTATGTTTTATTTATGAATTAAAGATAGTCATTTGAAATGTAGATGACAGACACATAAGGATATATAAAAGCAAATAAATGTAATTACTCAGGTTATTGATAGTGTGATAAGAACTGTTACAACTTAATTGTGCAGTTACAGAAATCTAAACTTATCTGTGAGTGACTGAGTAGCCAATTAAACCTTTGTATATTTGAATTTAAATCATAGGTTTTGCATTAGGACTAGTATTGTTACGCCGCTAACGAGACTTATATAAACGAGGCGAATTTTTATTTCTCACCTTTATGTTTAGAGGGTAAATACTTTAACCTCTTTGTATCAGAAATTGTAAATTTAACATACACACTTTGTAGGTGAATTTGTTTACATTTAAATGTGTTAAATAGACTGCTAATTTGCTTTATTCTTGTTCTTGTTTGGATAGGTGTGGGATCTTAGTGGATAAAACTATTTTAGCTCTTCTAGGTGATATCACATACCAATTATAAACTATAAGCTACTGGATCTGCATCATACTTATGATATTGATTTCTGTGTTCTGGATATTGACAGGTTGTTTCTATTTCACTTTTTGACTGACTTGTAGAAATTATATTACTCGACGTCAAATGTGAAGTATTCGAACTGGATAGCAGGTATTCATATAATATTTAAATTTCCTAAACACTAATACTTTTTAGATTCATCGAGTTTATCGACAAGGGTCCTTGGCTTGTCCAGGTAACTGTTTCACAACAGATAGATTTAAAACTCTTAGTTTTATGCTCCTTGGTGTGGATTCTGTCGCCGTTTGGCTGGTACATATGAAGAAGCCAGCAGGATATTGCTTCATACGGAACCTTCAATCAAAGTTGCTAGACTTGACGCCACAATATACACCGGAATAGCCAAAATGTTCGATGTGCGAGGTTTCCCAACAATTAAATAGTGAGTGTGTTTTAAAATTTGTATCTTAAGCTTAACAGTCATATAATTCTATTCATAATGGGGTTGTGGAACTTGTTGGATTTTATTAGGATCACGGACTAATATAGACTAGACAATCATTAAAAACATGAAAGCACTGGACGACCTCTTCATCCTAGTATGGGATACGCGCGTTAATTTATTAATTTTAATTTGTATCAATTACTGGCCAATTCAATACGCTTAAAATTGATTATTGACCAGAAAAGAAAGAAAACCTCAACTTATCTTCGGCATAGTAGTTGGTCAGTGATTGGATCAGTTGTGGATTTTTTGTAGGTGCATAGTAAATCTTTATCTGGTGTCTTGCATGGAATCGTATTAGTCTTTGTGCATCTATGTAATATCAAGTAACCAGTTGTATCCACAGCTGTAATGATTAGCTATACTAGTGTTTTTGTCAAGTTATAACAGTAGTCACAGGGATGGTCTGTAATTCTCATTTCCAATCTTTTCCATTACTAATGATGATACTATTACTACTCTTACTACTCTGGGGTTTGCCTTAATAATTTCATCTGTGTGTTAGTGTGGTTTGAAAACTTGAGCTGTGTATATATTTCGGGTTCTATGTTTTTATCGTGGTAATTGATTAAATCTCCAATTCCCTGTTGTGTTCATATATTTTTATCATTTCAGTATTAACGGCACAGTATCATATACATTTACTGGTGATCGAACTGTTCATGGTCTTGTTACATTTGCGCAAAGAGCTAATGGGTATGTTTCCTTTTTCAATTTTACATCTGTTAATCTATAAATACTCTAGCCGTGAATTGTTAGATTTTGTTTGTGTCTGTGTATTAGTGAAGTCTTATAATTTTTCGTTTGAATTCCGTATTTAACTATAAGAACAGATTGTTTATCGACTAGACGGATATGATACTGGCCACTACTCAGTGAGTAATCACTCGTAAATGTCTCAATCGTGGTCCGTATAGCTTAGTGGTAACGTCTCAGACTATAATGCTAAGTAACATAGGTTCGAATGCCACAGTGAATATTAGTTTCCACAAGATAATAGGTGCACTTTACTGACGGATACCAACTTTCATGGATCGTAGGTCTAGGATATCTTGCCGACCACCTTTAAAGAACTGACAACTTAAAACTAAATTGTTTTGTCTTGTCCTGGTCAATATAATGTAATTAGTTCGATGGTTTGCTTCACTACCCGGCTATTAGCTATATTTATTTTCTAGATAATTAGTCTTTGTATCAGGCTATGAATTGATTGGACTTTGGGATATATCACCTTTTCCGATATCAAGATTAAAGTAAGTTGATTAAGGGTAAACACGAATATTTTGTATTATCATTCAGAGTCTCTCTAGTTGTAAATCTAACTGTTAAATGATGACATTTTCACACTCAGATCACTTTGGTCGTATGGGATATTAACTTTTTTAAAAATAGCTTTAATAGTTAGCTTCCTTTTTACGAAATTTATGACTGAGTGAAATTGTTCTTAAGATCTTGTAATACTCATCTCTTGCCCAAACTGAGTGATGGTGATGTAAGTATAGGTGGTAAATAGTTAACCCGCAATTCAGTAATTATGAACGTCGTGTTGTGAAGTATTAGGAATTAACCTTTAGAAGTTCAGCAAAGCTGGATATTTACTGCTTCGATCTGGGCACCCGGGCAGTATCACAGCCCACACACAAATCAAGTGACTTGCGTGGCGCATATGTATTCGGTGCCCCTTTGTACCAATATTTATGTGTTCAAATAAATAAAACTGCAATCATTTAAATCAATCAACGCTTTTCATAAAATTTCAGTAGATTCTAAGACCTGATTTATTTTTACTCTTTTATGATCTGACTAATCAAACGTCATTTATAACTAATTTTCAACCTCAAAGTTGTTAATATGCAGTAACGCATGATCTATGTGTCCAAATTAGCCTTGAAACTTTTATCTCGTGTTGATTCTTGAGTTATTTGTTTGGGGTTGGACAATTGTAGATTATTGTATCTTTAGAAACTAGTTAGCATGTATATGTCACAATTGCTTGATGTATGATCAGCCTCTTGGTCCTTCACTCTCACTCTTAGATCAACAAGGGAATCAGTATTTAGTTTCTTTCCCAAGATTTTCAAGAGAGGTTATCTTTTCATGTTGCAGATAGCTAGGAAATATCAGTCTCAGAAAAATTACAGAAGATGGAACTGATGAAGCCTATATTGAAGTATAAACACGATATCTAACTTGTATTAACCTGGATTAAGTTCAAATCTGTCATGAAAAATCAACCTTAATGTATGTAAATATTCTAAATGTAAAGTTTATGAGGCATCTATAGATTTTGTTAACTACTAATGAGTTAATAGGTTCTTGAAAACGAACCTTTGTATACTTCAAAAAATGATACAGAGGTTTGATTGTGAGCAGCGGTAGTCAAAAAAGTAAAACGGATGATAGAGATACTAAATCTGGATTGTTACTTAAACATATAAAAGAATACTGGGATTAAAAATAAGCAGATAGAAAACTTTCTGAAAAGGTGAATCTGGCAGACTACTTACATACAGCTTAACTAAAACGTTAAATGGACTAATTTAATGGAGTACTTACTTGACTTTCAAAGTCTTTCCAGCTGTCTAATTTTTTCTATCATTGATGTGAATGAGGGATCATTGTCTGGTCGTTAGCTTTGAAAAGGGCGCTAATTAACTTGAAGCCATGAATAACATTTGATCCTTGTGATCACAATTGATTGATCACTGGGTGGTGATCAATGTCATACGTGTCAAGTCCTTCTTAGTGCTGATAGAATGCTATCGATCAAGTTGCAGTATGGCCACTAGTCTAGGTGGCTCGACACTGCGTGCACTATGTTGAGATAAGATGGTGATTGGAGGTGGTCAACAGGAAACCCTGAACCTTTGTGAGTTAAATCCACAGGTATCTAACGATACAAAAGTCAGTAAGTTCACTCTTCGAGAAATATTTCGAGTAACTAGCTAATTATTGTCCACAGTATTGTACTGATTTACTGGAAACATTTCTTCCCTAAAATTATGGTCTAATTATATTATTCTACATTTTTATTTTAAAATGTTTTCTTTTCTTTTCATAGACCAGCAGTAAAGCATTTTGAAAAAAGTTATGAATTTGAAGAACATTTAAAAAAACTATCTTCAGACGAACCATTTTTCTTCTTAATTAAACCAGCTAATTCTATTTTAGAGGTAAGAATTGGTAAATATTCGCTATATATTTTCGTTGTAAGAGGTTTTATACTTAATTAAAAAGCATCTTATTGATCAAACATAATTCCATTGATTATAACAGTGTCGACAATAAGACAGTATTATGTATCATTATTACTTTGCAAATCTTCGAAGTCTCATTAGTCCTGGTGCGTTGGTAGATTTATTGTCTGTCCGTCAACCAAGGGGGACCATACTGCTTAGGAGTTTGTCCTGTTTTAACCTATGGCTATGAAATGGGACCTCTGGATGTAGAAGACATCCCTGGTGTAAGTATTTAGTCATAGGTGTTTTTAAAGTGTTGTTCCGGTATGTTTAAGGTCACTGCTTGGGGTTGGACACAGGGTACCGGACAAAAACGACAAATCTGTTGACAGAGCTGCAAATCTTTATCGGTCGAGGTGGTTGGGGAATGTGTTAAACATGTCTGATACAAAATACTGGCTGATGTCGGAGTAAAAGGACTAGGGGTAAACAAACCACGATGTAGGATCTGTTCATAAAATGATTAGTCGTCGAACCGGGCCATATCGCTGTGCGCAGACTATTTGGTTGAGGTCCGCGTGGTTTTTCGTAACCAATAGCTAGAGATGGTAATTTCAGAATTCGTCACAATGACGCAAACATTTTCAATCTTCATCACTATTATTTGTTGAGTTTCAAAGCTACTGATTGATCGATCAAGTTGCTATGTGGTCAGCAGACCTTTACACGTTATCGCCCTGAATTTTTTTGGCTTTTCGTGGTTGAAGGCAATTGGGAAGGAGTTGACGAGTTTCAGTTTCTTGGAGATCTTGATTCGAGTCTTCCTGTTAATTGGCTTTAGTCGTCTAACACTGAAACAATAATCCAGAGGACACATTAAAAACTGAAGGTCTAGGGTCCAATTCCTGCATTCGGGTTGTGAATGCGCACTTATGAGGAGTCCCATACTAGGACTATACGGACGTTCAATGCTTTCAGGTTTTCAATGATATTCTAATATTGATCATTTCAGGGTTCCAATAGAATACTATTGTTTTATATTACCGTGAACTGTGTCTATCAATATACGTTCACATAGCAAAGCGTGTATATCGTAATAAGTTATGTGAGAGCTTCTTGTTTGTACTGTGAAAACGTATTCTCAAAAGTTTAAAACCTTGACGTTGATAGGTGATTACTCATTGGTTTGATAGTGAGTTCAGTAATATAGTATAAATTGAAATTTATTTCTTTTTACGAATGCTCCGATCATTATTAATTTCAGAACTCCCTCTGTTTTAAAGTTGCATGATGATTTCATTCTCCGATAATGCTATTATTATTACTATGGTTATTAGTAACATTATCAGTATAGTGGTCCATTGGTATTGTTGAATTTGATTGAGGTGACGAACTAGTCTAAGTTGGACAATTTTGAAAACGATGACTGGTTGAATTCAATCATGTCGGATATGAAACAATCACTCACTTCATGCGATAGATGAGGGTTGAGAAATATCACGAATTGATTGAAGTTAGAAATGTGCACTATTGGATCCTGACTTACTAGTATGCCACTTGTAGTGCAATGCTTCGCTAATCTTTCACCTCGATAGCCGTTGTAATACAAATCTCAACGGTGTATAAAATCAGAAGGCAAAGAGAAACTGCAACTACAGTTTATCATCAAATGACGCAGGCCACAAAGCTACAAGCACATGAGTAAGTATCAGCTAGCAAGTGCGAGCAATTACACAGGCAAATTTATAGTCAAATTGTATAAGGACGCAGCAAGACAAAGCAAAAACTGATAATAGGATTTGAGTGCATACATATATGGGGAGGAGGATGAGTCATCGAATGATATTTAAGCAATCAACGTTTTGGCTAGAGTTTGTCATGTGCTCTAGTGATGATAACAGTCCGAAGACATATTCAAATTGTTACTATCCCAATGACAGCGTCTGTTAAGTAAGTTAATAAAAGGGCTTAACCAAAACTAACCATAATCGAAATGGGGGTGTAGGATAGTTGCTATACCCTCTATTCTATATTTATTATTCAAGTTACTTACTAGTCAAAGACTAATGTACTTGCCTTCAAATCACACTAAAGTGTGAGAGCTAATAATACTACTACCCGAATGCCTAAACCGGAGCAGGTGGAGCATGGTTCGAAGGTGCAACTTAGTGACTGAAAGTCGAAAGTTTTAACCATTGAACCATTTCTCCACAATTAATGTTCACCTCATCAACCTATTATTTTGTCTCTGTCTAGTACATTCCACCTAATTCCAGCATTGCTTATTCAATTTCGTAGTATTTCAAAAACAATTGACAATAAGTTTAATAGGAATTAATCTAAATCTTTCTCTTTTATTTTTAATTTTTGCCTGTTTTTGCACCTTGATATATGTGATATGTGATACTTGTCACAAGAATTTTATCTAATTTTAGATACCTTTAAAAATCAGTGTGGATTGGAAATATATTTTTTCTTAGTATAGGATTCCTTAATAATATTCATTCACGACCCTGATATGGATTGAACTCATAGCCTCTTTTTAGACCTTGTAATAAATACCTAACCATTAGATGAAACTAGGTTGGGATTCAATGGTATACACTTCCAACTTTCATCAACAGTATATACGATGAGAATTCTTGTGTGATATTGTTTTTTTTGTTATATCAATTTTATAGAGTTAAGATCATGAGTCAATTAAAGCTAGACCACCAGGGAAAACCTGGAAGCACTGAACAGCCGTTTCGTTCTATTATGGGACTCCTCAGCAGTGCGCATCAACGATCCCGCACTCGTGAGATTTGAACCCAGGACCTACCAATTGACTCATGATCTTAACTCTATAAAATTACTAAAATCTACACAAAACCCCTTCTGATATCAATTTTATGTTAAATAATTGCAATTATAAAGTATTTCTAGATCATTGAAATCATAAACTGTTTCATCTTACATTTCATAACCGATTTACACAGAGTGTTATCCATAGAATTAATATATCATACTTCAAGCGACAAATGTCAAGTATTGTTCTTGTGTATTTGTATTTTTTTCTTCTTTTCACACCCAACTTTTTCATTACTCTTGATCCTTTTTTATATCAAGAAAACATTTCTACAGGTAGCTGAACAATTACGTATATTCTCATGGTTTTTCAGTGGTTCGTTATCAGTTATTACTTCTGTAAGCTATGTACAATTATTTGTTAAATGTTTTTTATTATTTCTAACTAGATTTTAATTTGTAGGTTTATCTTAATCACTGATTGATTTCAGTTGAGATATCATCAAAAACCAGTTATTAATAAAGTACTATTCTGTCCTAGTATGGGATTTTTCAAAAGTGCTCATATATGATTTCACTAAGAATCGAACCAAAAACCATCAAACAAAGATAAATAGTGGCTAGCAGTGGAATCCAGGACGCGCGTTTCGTCCAATTTGGGACTCGTTAGCTGGATGTACCTACATCTCAGAGTTGATGTTCACTCTGGGACTGGGACCCAGTACCTTTCGCGCACCCTCGATTCCACTGCTAACCACTATCCATCTTTGCTTACCATGCTTTTGAATTTAGGCTATATCGCACAGTATACATATATGCCAATTATAGACTGACTAGTTGCAGTCCTAAAATATCAATGGAAAATTTCAAACAAACAATGCTAAGTGAACAAAAACCATTAAGTCTCGCTTCCAATACTTGACTATTAAAATAACTATGTTGTAATGTAATAGGAAGGTATACACTTATGAGAAGACCCATACTACAAAGAAATGGGATTTCAGGGTTTCCTAATTCTCAGTTGTACCTCAACTGACATAACTTACTTACTTACTTACGCCTGTTACCATACTGAATACAACCTACTAATCAAACCAATCTCCTCAAAATCTTTTCAGATAAATTTTAATTTGTTGAAGTTGCAAGAGGAGCGGTGAGCTGAGGTTGTAACAATACCAAACATTAGTTCACAAGTTGGTCGAATATGCGTAATTAATCAATTTTTAATGAAAATAACTATTCAATAGTTTTTAATAATATGTATTGGTGTTCTTAAAAAGCTCATATTTCACTTAATCAATGATAAACATTGTAGGAATCAAATAACAGGATCAACTTAAATCATCACATCATAGCTGGATTGTAAGATAAGACCATCAAGGTAAAAAAATATCAAAGTGATGTTATCAGTATTAGTAAACAAGACTAAACATTAGCTTTTTTTCTAACCTTCTCTAATATCATCTAGTACCTTATGTTGTGATAAGCGGTAAATAGGCCTACGTAATACATATCCCTAATACCTTAAATTCTTCAATTACTCATGATTGATTGATAAATATCAACGAACAGACTACATACTTCATCAACAGTTTATAAAAATTAGTTTGGGCGGAGTTGTTTTTTGAATTTTAACATCGAATTACATGTAATATATAAGCTATGAACAATTGAATGAATGACCAGCTTAACCTATATCAAATTTATTATATGAGCTAATCTCAACATTTATAATGTTTTTGTATATTACATTATGTCATGATTAAATAGTCTTCTCCCTAACTTTCCAACTATTTGGTAATTTTCCTCAGGTTACCAACTTTATTTATTTATGATTATTTCAAGTAAGATACATTAGTGATGAAGGTATTAAACTGTATACATGTCGACCATCGATAGTTTGTTGTTGTGAAGTTATGTGAACCGATTGGTAATAATAGTAATAATAATATGATTATTAAGTAGTTTATCTTTACCAAGCATTGTTTACTTCATTACGCATTTATTAACCTATTGGGAGGCATGACTTAGTAATTAAAACATTCAACTTTCAATCCCTAAGTGGCAGGTTCTCGAACCCCTTACTCTACATACTTTAGTTTAGGTAATTGGATAGTTTTACTGGCGCGCACATTTAGATTGTGACTGAAATCCAAGTATATTAATCTGTGTCTGATTAATAAGTCAATACTACTACTAATAATAGTGATAATAATAATAATATTTACATACAGCTCAAGTGTTCGGTTTTAATCGTTTGTTTATTCATACATATCATCCTTATTCTTTTGTTTATTTACTGTGTAATCTGGGCATATCGGAATATTTTATTGAGGATACATATTTAGAGAGGAAGAAAAAAAAGGGAAAATAATTCCGAAAATTATCACTTTCTACTGGGCTGTTCAATCTTATCATTGTTTTTCTTTGTATATTCCTTTTTTAATAAGGGAAGAATGAGGTTAAAGATATATAATTTAGCAGCGATTATTTCGTTTCACAGTCACTAATATATTTCGAAAAAGTAAGTGTTTGTGTTATGCTTGAACTGAATCGATTCCGCGGTAACGAACGAAAGCCAATGACACAATGACACGATAAGCTATTCTAATCTGTTGTCCCAGGCCCCGCTAACTAGATGAAGAAGTCCAAGGCAAGTAGGGGAATATATATGTATTCCGTAAGCAGCCGAGTACAAGCAATCGAATAAGGGAAAAAGTCAAGCGCATTTATACAACAACAATTTGTCCTTGAGCATCATTGGTAAATAGCACACACAAAGAAACAATGGACCAATAGCGTTTAAGACAGTTTACAAGTGGGAGATATGACGTGAAGGTAAAAAGAGCGCGTTTGGCGCGGAAACAGCTAAATTCAAATTTTCAAAATAAAATTACAAAACTAAGCCATTTACCAAGTAAGTCCTGGGGATTTGACATCCCCAACAGTTTGATGTGTGGCTTACTTACTTACTTACGCCTATGGAGCATAAGTCTCCGAAAAGCATTCTCCAACCCATTCTGTTTTGGGCCTTCATTTCTAGTTCTATCTAATCGCTGTTCATTCTTTCCATGTCTGTCTCCATTTCTCGGAGTAATGTGTTCTTTGGTCTTCCTCTTCTCCTTTGACCTTCAGGATTCCATGTGAGGGCTTGTCTTGTAACGCAATTGGGTGATTTCCTCAATGTGTTTCTCATCAAATTCTAGCACTTCTTTCTGATTTGTTCCTCTGATAGAATCTGGTTTGTTCTCTCCCACAGTAGGTTGTTGCTGATATTGTCTGGCCAACGGACCTGAAGTATTTTTCGTAGACAACTGTTAATAAACATTTGTATCTTCTGGATAATGGCTTTCGTAGTTCTTCAAGTTTCCACCCCATACAGTAGAACTGTCTTGACATTTGTATTGAAAATTCTGATCTTGGTGTTGGTTGACAATTGTTTTGAGTTCCAGATGTTGTTCAGTTGTAGATATGCTGCTCTTGCTTTGCCGACCCGCACCCTCACATCTGCATCAGATCCACCGTGTTCATCGCTGATGCTGCCCAGATATGTAAATGTTTTTACATCCTCCAAAGCTTCTCCGCCAAGTATGATTTGATTGGTGCATGTTGTGTTGTATCGGAGAATCTTGCTTCCCCCTTTGTGTATATTGAGACCTACTGCTGCTGAGGCTACTGCTACACTGGTCATCTTCTCCTGCATTTATTGTTGCGTGTGTGATAGAAGTGCCAGATCATCTGCGAAGTGAAAGTAAAATGTGATTGGCCACTGAGTGTGAACTGGGAGAAACAACTTAATGTGTGATTTCCTTCTGATTATAGATCCGTACTCTGGATTCACTGAGTGTAGGCTGCTTGTAATTATGTTGCATCAAAGTATTGCTTGGTCTATACTCTAGTTCCCTATATTTGGTCCTGAATAGTGTATCCGGTATAAATTGATCCTTGCACTCCATGTGTCGATCAAGTATCCAGTCTACTGGTAACATAATCTCGGTCATCAGTTGTACTATGGTAGTATATGGTATAGAAACTCACTCGGTACATCAGTATTCTATTACAATAGATATTATACAAGTTTACCATACAGTAGGGGATTTTGTGAAGATTGTTGTATTTCATAGTTTACATCATGGATTAATCGTAGATAACCGTCGAATACCAGGAAGTACTGGACACGTGTTTCGTCTTAGTGTAAGATTTACAGTGGTGCTTATCTACAATCGCACCTGGAACTTAATCCCGGACCTTCAGGTCTCATGGTGGTCGTTCAACTTTTAGGTCAGAGAATTGGGATTTATTGATTTTCATTTCTAACTTCAATTAATTCACAATGTTCCACAACCATAATAAAATACCACTAATAAGTAACTGCCTCACACCTGACATTGCTGAACTTCACTAGTCATGGCTTTTCACTAGATCTCTTAGGGTTCCCTGTCGAGTTTGTTTGCTCGCCAACTTATCAAAAAACGTACATGTACGTATATTCATGGCAATATTTTTGGCCGTTCCTTGAAGATATGAGCTTCACTATGGAAAGTTTGAACTTTGGTTCACAATTGAACTGCTTTGTAAGTGAGGATCTCATAAACAATAATAAACCCTGGTGAATTCAACTTCAATTCTCAAAGAAAAATGATGTTTTTCGAAACAGTCAAACAAATTTTCTACTTTTAATAACCGTATTTCATAACAGAATATTGATACACTTATCTTGACCTTTTAAGTGAAAATTCAAACACATGTTATCGAATAGCAAGTTTTTAATTGTTAACACTAAACATAAAGTTGAATTTTAGTTCATTTATTTATTTTTACAGTTTCAAATATTAAACAGTTAGTGATAATTGATGGAAGGCTTCTTATGCACAGTTTTATGTTTGTTATTGAATGTTACAACATTCATCAGCAAAAAAATATTTGGAATGACGTTGCTTGAGTCGAATTCGCGCCTAAAATGCGCTGGAAAAACTGAAGTGGCGAGAATTTGCTCCTCTTCCCAAACTGGTCTCATACAGTTACGCGTTTACCCCTAATCTCATGAAAGTCCTACCCACTGCCTCCATGTGACTGAGGTGTATTTTTAAGGGCAAGAGTAAGAAGGTGGATGTTCAGTGCTTAAAATGGGATGGTAAATACAAAGGATTCACTTAGAGAGAGTGTTTGGAAACCCTGATTTTATAGGCTAGATGTAATTGGATTCTAGTGTTGATGTTGCACTAGTAGTCACCATCCATATCTGCTTAAAAATGTATTTGTTAAAGATATTCTAAACTGTAATTATTGGGTTTCATATTTAAATTCATTACAACCATGATATACTCAATGCAACTAACCTGATATATACACAAATCAGTTTGAAAGTTGATGATACCAAAATTGCTCATAACTTAATTTGGTTAACAGTAATTGCTTGTCTTCTAGTTATAGAATCAGAAAGATTAGTTCATTGAAGAGTTCGCTTTTTGGTGAATTAATTTATCAAAAATGATAATAACGACAATAATAGTGATAGTAAAATGTCTTCCTGAACATGCTAGCTGTAAGGTAAAATATATATATAAAGGCATGGAAATGTTATTTTTATTAAAGAAACTAGTGTTATATTTAGAGCTTTGATTCTTACTATGCCGCGTACTACTAGACTCCTTGAACGACCGAACCCGCAACGTCGCAAGATAGAAGACAGAAGACTAGTAAGTAGGAATTTTATTCCCCAAAACAGTATCAAAATATAGTACAGAAATCTCATGTATTTATAGTTTTTGACTGATAGTAAATCATCATTTCGGACAACCAATTAGCACATAGGGGTCATTCTTATCCATCCAATGGGGAAGTTACACATCGACATTTTAGAATATTCCCGTATCAGTGATTGGATGGAATGCATTCGGCTCTTTCTGGGCTTTTTGAAGGCTTCCTAGAGTTTACCAACAAGCCATCCTTACAACTAGTAATTTTGTTGTTAAGAGCTTGAATATTCAAAATGAAAGTAGATATAAAGACTTATAATTAGAAAGGCAAGATTCAGCATGATAAGATAATATGTTGAAATTGAGATGAACTGTAATCATGAGTATCATAGAACCAAAAACATCATTTGAGGGCATAAGTTCTATGGGGAAGAAAATAGAAGGGAATCAGGTGGCTGTGAGAAAAGAAAAAGAATCACGGGGGATTAAGACCATAGTAGAAGAAGAGGTTGTTTCTTTTGTATACATAATTCTGTTTTTTTTTTAATGCATAGCAAATACTTCGAAAATGTCAAGAAGTCGGATGCTAACTGTCTTGGGTAGCTTTCTACTTAACTTGTATATGATTTGGAACGCAGATTCTATTTTGATGGAATAACCTGCGTTCACAAAGTGTTCAATTATGAAGCTTCTTAATTAACCATTTCCACCTCTTTTCAGTCAAGGTGGTAATGTTCTTGAATTCTTTTGGATAAAATGCATATCTAACGACCTATATAACTGGCTCCATATGAAAAGGTAAATTGATAAATGCACATGGAATTGGTGCGATGAGATGATTTATCCTTCAGATTGTTATTGAACATTGGTCGGTTGGAGACATCTAATCGCAAAGTTGCTGTGAATAACGTTCTGTTTAGGGAGTCAGAAATCCTACTCTTCAAGATGTCTGTAGCTATATCATCTTTGATATCGACGTTCATATAAGGAGTTTTCTTTAGCATAGAGGTTGTTTGTGCTTTGGAATGTTTAAATCTTGTGTTCTTATCAATAAACACCTATGGATACCTGTTTTTGATAAGTATTTTTCTTAGGGAGGTTCTGTTCGTTATCTATGATCTCGTGAATACAAACTGCTCATATCTATGTAGCGAAGGATATAATTAAATTTCGCTTTTGATTATTGAAGACCCAGCTGCAAAAGCTTGATAACTGACCATTTCGCAAGCGTTTCCTTTAGATAGATTTTATAATTCCATCGTTTTTTTCTTGTTATCTCGATACCAAAAAAGTAAATACTTTGTTTGTTTTCAACTTCTAGAACGATATTTATTGCCAGTTTGGTGTTATTAAATATCTGTAGAAGATGATTCAAATCATATTTTTTGTTGAAAGAGTGAGTCAATTGAAGCTAGACCACCAGGGAAAACCTGAAAGCATTGGACGGCCCATTCGTCCTATTGTGGGACTCCTCAGCAGTGCGCATACGCGACCTCGTCTTGCGAGATTCGAACCCAGGACCTAACAGTCTCGCGCCAGAGCACCTAAACGATAGACCACTGAGCTGGCATTCGATGGTGTTTATGTCTAACTCCAACCAATCCACAAAGTTGAGCAACCGTTCACCAATTTTCTTCAGCGAGTTCCTATCTCACAACAGACGTGGTTCGAACTCCACTGGTCACTGCTTCTCACTAGAACTCCAGGATTTACCTGGAGTCACAAATCAATTCATTTTCAATATTTTTTAGCGAAACTATTGTTTTGAATAATTTAAGTTTGCTTAAAAAATCAAATCGAACTGGATCAGTTCGATTTGGAACTCGGGATTTTTATTGTTCATGAGTGTCAAATGCTTTAAAACCAATAAGCCACTTCTTTATGTTACGTTACCAACTTTTTATTCATTTAACATCATTAACATCCAAATTTCCCCCTAAAACGTTTTTCTTAAAATTTTTATTTTCTTTTGTACTTCTATAAAAAACATGGAACCCATATACTTGTATAGCCTTACATTGAAACTTTGAAATCATCCAGTGATATATTTACGGAGATTTTAGTTTTTAAAGATTCTCAAGTTTATTCTTATCCTGGTCTATTTTCAAGTAAGTCCAGTTAATCGTTTTGTGGTTCGTTGGATTATTCTCATTTTGTTTATCTTAGTTTCTATACATTCATGAGATTTTAAGTAGATGCCTTTTGAAATGTGCATTCTATCCTTCATCATTTTGTGTCTCATCTCCAAAAGCTTATATATATATATATATATATATATATATATATATATAGGGACGTGATGGTCATCGTCATTATCTGCCTGTTATCTCTTGAACCCTATACTTCATTCAACATTTCCTCCCAAATCAAGATAAAAATTGAAAGTGAACAAAATTTACTTCAAAGATTACGAGGAGCCACTCTGCTGTGGTAGATTAATTATAATTTATATAGAATTTACAAAAGAATCTATTAACTTCTCTATTCATCTCGTGGCGCTAATTGGTTGAGATAATGGACTAATCAGAGTGTCCAATTTTGAGCCTGATTGAAATATGCGATAGTTAAGGTCTGTCTGGTGAACGTTATCAGAATTATTGAATAATAGTCTAACACTCTTATCAAGGTGTGTAGATCTGATATGATACCGTAGTTTTTTTTAAAATTCTAATAAACGTAAACAGTGGCTAGCAGTGGAATTCAGGACGCCCGTTTCTTCCCATCTGGGACTCGTCAGCTGGATGTACCTGCATCTCAGAGTTGATGTTCATTCTGGGACTCGAACCCAACACCTTTCGCTTCAAATACCATCGCGTTATCCTCTCGGCCACTGAGCCCTGATAGCCATTTGCTTGTGCGATGGACGAAACGCGCGTCCTGGATTCCACTGCTAGCCACCATCCATCTTTGCTTACAATTCTTGTGAATTAAGGCTATATTGAGTCAGTGTGCACATATGTCAATTAGAGACTGACCAGTTGCAGTCCTAAACATCAATGGGAAGATTCAATCAAACAATACTAAATGAAATTAAACATAAACTATATTTAAATACTTCTTCGTATGTTATATTGTTATGGTTTATGGTGATATATAGACGACACTGGTGTTCATCATGTGATTTAAATATGTATAATTTAATCGTGTCTCAGTTATGAATGCTATTACATTGATGTATTCGAACCGTAAATAACCTTCTGTGGTATTAGAATGCTTACATAGTGATTGGTCCCTTTAAGTAGTAATTATATTATTGCTGGAATTTAGTTAACATTAAAAATTAGACAATATAATATTGATTTTGTCACGAGTGATTAAATTATAGGACTAGTTTTTGTGTTTATTGAAGTTCCTTAATGAGATGTATCTACAACATGAATACGATTTGTCAGTAGTATTTATCACATGTTAAACTCATTCGTGGCACCACTGAATACCACGAAGCACTATATAGCTATCTCGTCTCAGTATAGGACTACCAAGCAGTGCTCATTTTCTACACCACGAAGGATTAAAGCCAAAATGTTCAGATATTGCAGCTAACGTCTACCATTAGAGTCATTCGATTGGCATCCAATGGTATTATTCGAACATTGATTGAAGGTGAAATTGTACCACTTGATACCGACCCGTTGATTCTAACGGTTAAGTGTTAACAACGAAACATAAATTTCCCGAATTCGATTCTCAATATATTTACGGGTGTGTGCATTGTTGAGGGGGAGAGTTATACTAGAGTAAAACGGTTCTCCAGTGCTCTCTGGTCTTCATTGATTGTCTAACCAAGGTCGACTCGTGATGTAAATCATGTAATAATTTCTCAAATAAAATGTTCTATTATCAGTCAGTCAGTCAGCTACAACGTAGGATCAGGCACATTTGTGCATCGGTCCAAGTTGCCATACCTCGTTAGCACAACAAGATCAACACCGGATTCATAGTAGTTAATTTAGTGGTGGTGGTAGTATATAAATTATAGGTGTTATATAAGGATATAGTATAGGAAGGAAGAAAGTTATGAAGCAATTTTAATCTCAAGGTTTAAGGGAAGATAAAGAGTGTATACACCTACGCCATTGTGATCGATTCTGAGCCATGTCACCAATAGTCTCCAACCATTGGTTACAATAGTCACGCGGACCCCAACCAGGTAGTCTGCATCTGCCAACATGGCTCAGGCTAGAAGTTAGTGACTTCCTGCTCTGATGCCATGTTTTGGTTTGGCTGCCCCTAACTCTCTTCCAACCATCCCCAATGCTAGTCATCATAGAGCGTCGTGGTAATCGGTGTTCAGGCATATGTAACACGTGGCCCAACCATCTCAGTCGATGAATATTCATGACCTCATCAACTGATTTACCATCGTTCCCTAATACCCTGTGTCTAACCTCACTATTACTTACCCGGTTATCCCAGCAAATGCACACACACTCAGATAAAATGCGAGATATTAATAAAGAAGACGAGCTAGTAAGAAATCAATTTTGTTCCCACCATTTTTTAAAATATTATTCTTATTATTATCATGTAGATAAAAATTTACAACTAACAAATAATACGTCGGAATTATATCAAGATTTATTATTATGGACATTACGTGAACGACAGCCGGGATTTCCAAAATTATCTCATTTCGATTGGTGGGAATTTGCATCAAATGAATTATTGGACATTCAAAATCATAATCATAATACTACTAGCACTAATACTACAGATGATAATACTAGTAGTAGTAACGATGGTTCAATGGCTCAACAATCATTACATTCAAATACAAGTCCAGTACAATCATATCGAAATTATCGTTTGCTTGGATTATTTGTTATTGATCAATTAATAGAAAAGAGTTCTCCATCTAGGTGAATTAAACATTTAAATTCATTTGTATTTTTCTTTTATAAAAAAATAAGGTAATCCCTTATGTCAGTTTTTTAATCATATGGACTCTGTAATAATCGTCCTTTTGGGAATTATTATTTTCATAGTTGAAAGCGTAAATCAATTGAAGCTAGACCACCAGGGAAAACTTGAAAGCACTGGACGGCCGTTTCGTCCTGTTGCGGGACTCCTCAGCAGTTAATTGCTCTGGCGCGAGACTGGTAGGTCCAGGGTTCGAATCTCACGAGGCGAGGTCGTGGATGCGCACCGCTGAGGAGTTTCACAATAGGACGAAATGGCCGTCCAGTGCTTCCAGGTTCTCCATGGTGGTCTAGCTTCAATTGACTCACGCTTTCAACTATGAAAATACTAAATCTCCACAAAAACCCTTTCTGATAATTATTATTTTCTTTAAGTTCTTTTCACAATTATGGTTGGTTATGAGTCTCTATCGCTTTTCATTGTTTTAAATGCTTGGTACTAAACTTGATTTATGCCTTCACAAGTTATTTTTTGATAGTTTTCTAGTTGGATTCATTTAGAAAATTGTTATGTTGATTATTTGTTATGTGTGCATTACTTACCTATGTACGCGTATTATCTGTCGTAGAGGAGCATAGGCCGCCCACTAGGATTCTCCATCGAACACTGTCCTGGATAATCATTTCCAGTTCTTTCCAGTTGCTCTTCATTCTTTTGATATCTGCTTCGAATTCACAACGCAATATGTCCCTCGGTCTTTTTCTTCCACTCTTGCCTTTAGAATTCCAAGTTAGGACTTGTCTCGCGATGTAGTTTGATGATGTATGTATGTCCTATCTGCCTCCAATGTCTTTTTCTAATTTCCTCTTCAGCTGAAAGCTGGTTTTTTCTGTTGGGGATGTCAAACCCCCAGAACTTACTTGGTAAATGGCTTAATCTTGTAATTTTATTTTGAAAATTTGAATTTAGCTGTTTTCGCGCCAAAAGCGCTCTTTTTACCTTCACGTCATTTTCCCACTTGTAAACTATCTTAAACGCTATTGGTCCGTTGTTTCTTTGTGTGTGCTATTTACCAATAATGCTCAAGGACAATTTGTTGCTGTATAAATGCGCTTGACTTTTCCCCTTATTCGATTGCTTGTACTCGGCTGCTTACGGAATACATATATATTCCCCTACTTGCCTTGGACTTCTTCATCTAGTTAGCGGGGCCTGGGACAACAGATTAGAATAGCTTATCGTGTCATTGTGTCATTTGGTTTTCGTTCGTTACCGCGGAATCGATTTAGTTTCAGCCATAACATTTTCTCCCCCCCCCCAGTATGCTGTTGCTGACGGTATCCGTCCAACAGACCTCGAATATCTTTCGTAGACGATTGCTTATAAATATCTTTACTTTTTCGATTATGGTTATAGTTCTCTAGATTTCAGTTGAGTACAGTAAAGCTGTCTTGACGTATGTGTACATTCGTACCGTTAGATTAATATATTCCTTTAGATGGGAATAATCTTATTAGTAGTTGTCGTTTTTCAATCTATTTTATCATTGTTAATTCCTTATAGAGACTTCAACTACATGATTAAATGACACATCAAATATTTATTATTATTATTATTATTATTATTATTATTATTATTATTTAAACACATAAATATTTGTACAAAGGGGCACCAGATATATACGCCGCAAAAATCTCATTTGGTTTGTGTAAGGGCTGTGATACTGCCCAGGTGCCCAAACTGAAGCAGATGGTTTTCTTAGGGGGTCACACTCGGAGCCTTTGAACTAAAGATCTGATCCACAAGGCAGTGGAGCATCGTGAGGAGATGCATTCCCATGGTAGCCGGTGACCAACAATAGGTTTATACGCCATTTGTTCCTTCAGGATACTGTAGCCCATGTACATCATTTGTTTGGAAAGAGGGTTTTCTAACTCCCCTAGGTGAACTTTCAATGTCCATCAACTCGGTTAAAGCGCCGGACTTTCACTTTTTGTCCTATCAATTTCGTGAACAAAAATAATACTACAAGAAGTCAATGAGTAGGACTTCCCTGAAAAAGGCTATATATTCGCGTGGTCATATGAGAGCATTTGGAGAGGGATAGCGGTCTGTCCCCGCTCTCAGCCGTACCAGAGCATTTAGGGACCACGTTAAATCCCGAAAGGTAAAATGCAAAATTATCTGTAAGGACGGTTCTATAATTACAAAAGTATATGAAATTCAATAAATACTTCAACTTATGAGATGTCAACAATTTTTGATAAGTTCATGTACAGTCAGAGAAGAATGTTACCTGAAATGAATACACATAGTTATTTATAATACATTACTATATGTGACAGCTAATAGCCGTGTCGAAATTACGTCAGCAGACATTGTTAGGATGAGAACGATGAACATTTAAGTATAGAAACTTTTACAATAAAACTGAAGTTCAATGGATACACTAAAATTGAGATCATCTGTTGCAAGCATTAAAAAAAACTCGATTAAAATCATAAATAACGGTTTACGTTAATACCCATAAATATTCTATAACAACAGATCTTCAGTATACTGGTTGCTCAAAAGTTATCAGAAGTGAAACGGGTTACTAAATATTAATAAGTAGTATGGATTGGTACACAAAAGGAAATGGACTCCAAAGAATAGGAATAGTAATAGTATTAGCAATAATAATGATAATAATAGTTGTTGTAGTGTAGTAAACAAAACACTAATTGGGGACGATCGAATATATTTAAGCAAAGATTACAGACTATCTCAGTAAATTCTGATAACCAAACAATGAACAGTCAATTTGCAAATTAACAACCACTTGTTTCAATCTTCACTGTTTCTTCTCTAATTCCACTGCTCATGCATTTTCCAAACGATTGCGCTTCATTTCAGTTCTTTCCTCATCGGTCTTCTGCCAAAAATACATTCTATGTCTGACCCACACCATATACTACTTATATGGATATAAGTAGACCACACCACAGTAGGAGTAGTATTAACTCGTCAATCAGATGTAGAGTCTAATACTTGACTTTCAGCTATAGTCTAGATGTGAGGAGTAACGGCAATACAAGCCGCTTACCCAAACTTAAATAGGTCGACTAGGGTTCGAATCTGCTTATTGGTAGTGACTGAATGTTAAACATCTTAATCACTGAATCACCCTCCATTCATGGCTGGTTCGAATTCACTCTGTCTGCTGGGTTTTTTTCTTTAGAGGAAACATGTATAGCTAAGTACAGTTTTTTGCTACAACTAAGATTTTTGTCCATGTAATTAATCAATTCAGCTGAAAAATATAAGATTCAGTGGAAAATTAATAACAATAATATTAATGTTAGTTGATCCATATTATAGCTGTCATTATCATCATATACCAACGCCTAACCATTGGAGTTTCGGCAAAATATATGGGAATAAATTTAAAGAATCCAATGGAATCGTTCCGATTAATAAGATCTACGATTAACTAACTAATTAACACGATCTCTGAAATTATTTCTGTCACGAATTAGCACTCATCTATACTAACCTATTTTATAGATAATCAATCTATTTTTGTAATGGTACATCCAGCTGATAAGTTCTCAATACGATGAAATGTGTGTCGTGGATTGATTCTATTAATAGCCATTATTCAACTTTACATAATCGATGTACGTTATTCCCATTGTTTTACCACATTGACACTGTTGCTTTCTATTCACATAAGGAAATCAAGAATGAATGCGTAACAGAGGTTGAAATTCTTTGTTTTTCTCTGAGAATGTAAAATATTTCATTGACATATTTTTACTTGGTATAAGAGAATTCCAGGATTAAATATGTACCTTCTCAATATACTACTCATTGACTTACTGACGAATTAATAAATATAACTATTATATTAATGATATAAAAATTATGCTTTTTATATTCATTAGAGGTATAATAAAGCTTTGTTCACATGTTTTCCGTTTTTGCCCCCCAAATGCCCAGGTATGGCCGAGGGTGGGACAGTCCGCTCTCCCTCTCGAATTACTCTCACACCGCCATGCGTATATAGCCTCTGCCAGAAAAGTCCTACTCACTGCCTTCTCGTGGCCACGGTGTTGTTTACGAAATTGAGAGGACAAAAAGGCGATTGTCCGGTGCCTTAACCGTGTTAGTGGACACGGAAAGTTCACCTAGAGGAGTTGGAAAACCTTGATTCCAAACCAATGGGGCACATGGGCTCCAGTATCCTGAGGGAACAAATGGCGTATAAACCAATTGTTGGTCACCGGCTACCATGGGACTGCATCTCCTCACGATGTTCCACTGCCTTGTGGATCAGATCTTTCGGTCAAAGGCTCCGGGTGTGGCCCCCTAAGAAAACCACCTGCTTCAGTTTCGGTACTTGGGCAGTATCCCAGCTCTCATACAAATCAAATGAGATTTGTGTGGCGCATATATATCTGGTGCCCCTTAGTACCAATATTTATTTGTTTAAATAAATAAATAAATAAAATGTTTCTCGTTTTTAAAGAACACATGAATACCTGTTAGTATATTAGCGTTAGATTAAGGCGAATAATTTAAGAGAATGACATGCAACTTTTAGAAAATTTTTACGGTGAACTAGCATATATATATATATATACGCTTGTGTTTTTGTTAACTCCTTGGGTTATGATATTTTTATATTACTCTTATGGCAAGCTTTCACTTCTTTTATTAACTTTTGTTATATGTTTCACCGTTCTTGTAAATGACAGTTACTTAATTATATACCTGTTGTTCAGTTTTAGACCATAAACAACCTAGTCATGCACAGATTGTGTGTTATTTCTTATTTGTAACAAGATGTGATTACGCAATTGATGTATCTGTATATGATCATGTGCGTCTTTGAATTTTCTGATCGGGTACTATGAATAAATTAGATTATGTTGAACCACCAATAGGTATTGAGATCCCGATCATTGTTTATGGTCAGTTTTATTATTGATCGAGAGGAGGTTATCGGGTAGACTGGGATAAAGTGAACTGTTATGACTTGCGATGCTAATCGATATTGTGTTATACTGTCTAACCAGTATTCCAATTATTGATTAGTTCACCTACATTACCGGTAAGACCGGTGACGTTTTAAGTATCAATTGAGAAACCAACCGATAAACAACACCCAAGACCTTAGGATTTATTAATCTTTGAATTCCTTCTAACTCAGTAGTCAATCACAAGACAAAAGTAGGAAGCTGATTATGTCTCTGTTAGTTCGGATGGTCAAATAGTTTAGTTATTATATTTCAAGGTAAGTTGTATAGTATTCAAATGCACGGCACTACATACAGATCTGTGTAAACTACTGTAGATATCCTGTTCCTTCAAGGGTTTAGTTTCGGTTTGAATAGATCATTTATAAAGTGTCTAACAGCTGGAGAACGCGGAGGGTTTCCGGTTCCTTCAGGTTTGGAGATACTCTTTGTTAATGAGTGTCAGATAACAAGAAACTTGAATTCAGTACGGCTTCATGCTGTTTATCTCCACCCACTTAGCATCAAGTCTATACGTTATTAATAGGTATTGCATACTAACACGTTCAAATGTATTGTCAACAAATGTAATGTGGCTTTGTTACTGTTTCTATCAAACTAATATTTCTGTTATTACAAACTCAGGGTATTGGAATTCGGGAGGAACTTGGCTCTTAAACGTCTACCTCATGTAATACGGTAAGTGTATTATACCCAACTACGATAATTGTTTAGTTGTGTGAGTTGCGGTGAACTAGATTAATGTGAAAAAAGTTTTCATCAAGGATTAATCTTGGGTGGGAGTTACCGAAAATTGAGGAGAAATGGAATGGCTACTTTCCTAATCTGAAACTATAGACTACAGGATCCTCGGGTCCAGTGTCGAGGGCATTATCTTTAGTACACTGTGTTGCAATTTATTGGTCCATATTTCTGATCATAGTTATCATTGCAACAGTGCTTTCATTTCATGGGACAATCGAGTAGGGAGTTTTGAGGTTGCGCATAAGATACTAGGCTAGGATGGCAAACCAGTTTATAAGGTTGTAAATCTTTATTGACTGAAATGGTTGTCATGTATTACATATATTGAGCCACCACCTACTTCAATAAGTGGTGATCGCTGATGTAATAGTAAGTTTGATGGAAGTTAGAAACTGAAAAACTAAGATGTGCCGTCAGTCAATGAAGTCATTAATTGTTTAACTGAGTTGTGTAGGTAGATGCAGATTATCTAGTTGGGGTACGCGCGCTTTTGGTAATCAGTGATTGGTGTCTATAGGTAACATGGTTCAGAATCATTCGCGATAGCATAGATCCATTTATTCTTTATGTTCTGTTAGATTCTAAGTTTCCTAACTATCTCAAAAGGTGTATTTATTCCACTAATCCATATTTTCTTTTGAAATCATTATTTTCTATTCTGAACCTTTAATACTTAAACTGATGCACATGTAAGTCCCACATTGTATATGTATGGCTGACTGAGAAGTGCTATATAGGGTATTTGTATAGCGTTATACATTGATGCTTTCTCTGATAATGTGAGTGTTGTTTCTCTTTAGAATAATTATTATATAGCTATTGGTTGTAAAGGTTTAATAAAAGTAAGTAGTGAGTGAGTAAATCTTACGATTTAACCAACCTCGAGTTAATCGTTAGTATATGGAATTTGTGGAAATTGTAAAATCTTAATAGTTTAAATCACGAACTGGTTTTAGCTAGACCACCATTGGGAACTTAAAAGCTCTGGATAATCGTTTCTTCGTAATATGGGACTTCTCAACACCACACATCTAGAAGTTGAACTCAGGACCTTCGGTTTCAAGCGCGAACAATTAATTTGTATACGTTTAACTTCAGTCATTTTACGATATTACTTACTTACTTATTCCTGTTACTCCTAGTAGAGCATAGGCCGCCGACCAGCATTCTCCAACTCAATTTACGACATTGCGCAATACTAATTCATTGCCTGCAGTAGATAACTGTTTCACACTCAATATAGTTCCATACTAAAACGAGGTTCCTGTGCAATGCTTCTACGTCTTCAATCATAATCTAGCCAAGATCAATTCGTAACTTACAGTTAATTATCTACAATAAATTTGAAATAGAGGATTTTTTTCCTAGATATTTACCTAAACACTTATCTGAGAAGCTTAGATAGACTATCTTTGTGGAATAAATAGGTCGTGATTACTAATGAAATTTAGGATATGCGTTTTATTTGACACTTATCAGGTAGATATAACTTTCTGACTTCCAGTTTTGATATACACACTGAAACTTGATACAGTCCTTATTGTATGAAGTGCTTTATGGTTTAGGAGTAGGTTGGAAGAAAGCTAGGGGGCGGCCAGATCAAAACGTGGCACAAATCCATGAAGTCACTGACAATTGGACTGAGCCATGCTGGTAGGTGTAGACTACCTGGTTTGCGTTCGCGAGATGATAGCAATCAATGGTTAGAGACTTTGAATGGCATGGCTCAAAATCGTTTACAATGGCGAATGTGCATCCACTCTTTGTGTTCTACTAAATTCTAATCTTCTGAATTCTTCATGTCTCTATCTTTTTTCTATTTCCAAATTTATTTCACTGGATTATACTTCTTCAATAACGTCTTCAAACTCTAATCTTTTCAGAATACTCTTACTATTGTGTACTACTATGAGATTTGAAATGACAACTGCATCTCTGTGCTAATATAGTATGACAACTTGAACTGATGTACGTACGTACGTGCGAAGTTCTACGTTGTGACTGACTGACCTAACTATATTAAAAATTCATTCTGAACGTTGAAAAACTTCAAACTAATAATGATATAGACCTGTCTTCAGTTCGACAAATCATCGATTTTTTCTTGTTCGTTTGTTTGTTTTTGTCTTAACTTCTCTTCTCTCATTTTTCTTTTTTTTTTGGTTTAGCTATTTTCAATTAGCATGGACTAATGATATAGAAAATTTAGAAAATTTAGCTATGAAAACAATAACTATACCAAATTTTATTGTATTAAATCCTATTACATATGAATTATATATTTATATATCAAATCAATATTCATCATATACTTTATTATTTAATGAAAATAATTTAATTAATTTTTTAATGCTTATTAATGATGGAAAGATTAAAGTAAGTAAAATAATTAAATTTGTTTCTTGAATGCTTTGTTTTTATAAATGTAAAAGAAGTATATCTTCTCCTTTTCAATTCTGTAGTAATTTAGAAGACTCTCCTGGTCTCCGACATTGTTCAGATGTTTCATGTATTTATAAAGAATGTTGCTCTGATTGTTAGAAAGGTACATTGGTCTTTTGATTTCTGAAGGAAGTTGGTTTTGATCATGAGGTGTTATAATTCTTCCTTGAACTTCCAGGGAAGAGTTTAAATGGTTTGAACTATTTTTTTTTCTGGTTAGCGTTTTTTTAAGGAGTTAGTTTTACTATGGGATGGGGTCGATAACCTTATACCCAACCTTCCTCCTTTATCTGGGCTTGGGACCGGCAGTGGCCCCTGAAGGGGCTGCAGCGGAGTTTAAAGAAGTGTTATAAAAATTAATTTAATTTATAAGTAGTATATATTCATCATAGATTGATTTGTTCAATTGTATTAATACTGGAATTGTAGCGTTGAATACTGATTTAGTGATTTTAATAGTTAGATGTTTGTTGTATGATCTGAAAGTCTTATATTCTGATGTGTGGTAGTAGGGTCTTTTACATTATAGTTTTGAAGAGTTCGATACTAAGACGAAACAGCTATTCAGAGTACTTTTTTGTTTTTTAGTGGTATCTTAAACAAGATCTATCTATGACTGATACTACTAATTACATATTCATTTATAACCATATTAAAAGTATCATATTATCATAGTTGAATATTTTTAATATATAAATAACAGTCGTAAAAATATTCCACGGTATTAAATTCACTTAGTATTGTTTGCTTGAATCTTCCCATTGATGTTTAGGACTGTAACTGGTCAGTCTCTTATTGGCATATGGGCATGCTGTGCGCATTGTCTCGATATAGCCTTAGTTCACAAGAATTATAAGCAAAGATGGATGGTGGCTAGTAGTGAAATCCAGGATGCGCGTTTCGTCTTATTCGGGAATCGTCAGCTGGATGTACTTGCATCTCAGAGTTGATGTTCACTCTGCGACGCAATGGCGTTTGAAGCTGATGGTACTGTATTCGAGTCCCAGAGTGAACATCAACTCTGAGATGCAAGTACATCCAGCTGACGATTCCCGGATAAGACGAAACGCGCGTCCTAGATTCCACTGTCCATTTTATTTTATTCCTTTCTTGAAATTATCGATTTATAGATGACATTCTTCCCATAACATAAATATAGGGATTTAAGTTTATCTGTTGTTAATATTAAGTGGATTATCTTCAAATCCATGTTTTGTTTTTAGTTAGCATTCGAGTCCAGAATGACAGTTTTCGTCTTACTTCGGACTCTTTATCTAAATGTATTTATATCCTAACTTTAGTATTTATTCTGAAACTCGTATTGATTGTATAGTTTTTCAGTTGACTATAATACCCAACTGAATGAAATGTACATCCTAAATTAGTTATAATTCAACTTTTTCTCTTACGTTAAATGTGATAGTAACTAATTTTATGTTATATGCTCGTTAAAAGACAAAAACACTTTTCTATTTTTTTTGTCCAAATATAAACTAGGGTATTGGAGGTAACACAATTTCAATAAGACTACAACGTTTAGGATATAATTTTCTAATCGGTTTCTCGGTAAGTTTTAAGTAAAGTTTAACTATTAATGAAATTCTTCACGTTCTAAAACAATTTTTTAAAATATTTTCTGATAAGTCTTACTGATTGAACGCTATACTCAAATCCTAAGCTAGTTTCGTAACCCCCCAAGCTGGAACTATACAGCTACTTGAACACGAGAGAAAAGGCACAAAATATACGAGAAGCACTTTACTCCAAAGGTTCATTCATGTACAAAAAATATAGGGCTTTTATAGTATTTTAAAAGTCCTAGGGTTTTCCTGAAAATTCTGGAATGCTACTAAACGTAGTAGCAGTGTAGTAATCAGCCAATTAGAACCTCTACATGTGACTTTTCATTCTCGCGATATTTCTAGCAAAGCTTCTAATCAAACGCTGATTGAATAAAATGATTCTTAATGTTTCCTGAGCTTGTCATGTCTATCGCGAGTAATTTGAGGATCATCCCAACATTTTTTAACATAAAATCTATGTCTCTATGTTTTAGACAATATTCCTAATGCCTAATCGATCAATCTATTATTTTCAATTCTTCTGAATGTCTAGATGATATATTCTTTCCAATAGATACACACTAGTGTAAAGTAATATCCTTGTGAGTACACTTCCAATAAATATACTTGAATATTTAGTCTACATCTAACCATTACGGTAGTTATGTTAACTGTTGTGACTTCTGGCCGAGTTAATTTCTCACTCGACATGACCGCCAATCACAATACGACTTATACAATATTAACACTGTGCCATAACAATGACATATTGACCGGTATGAACAGCCTAGAGTCCTTATTAGTCTTTTGTCCTTCTAACCCTGCTAATTGAGTACAGAACACCAATACCAGATTCCATTATACGAATCACTTATTTCAAACATACCCGGTTTATATACAAGGCAAACGGACCACATCACACCAAAAAATAGGAAATAACATTTGTACAAAATCAAGCCAAAAAAAGTGGTTGTGATTGTGGAAGACTGTAATTAATAAACTGAGCATAGCTTAAGAATAGTAAATCGTATAATACTAATAATCTATAGGTCAAAGTAAAGATAACTGTAAAAATGGTGATTACTTTGAACGCAACGAATTAATCAATCGGATTGATGAGAAACGTAGGTAAACGGGATATGCAATCAGTCTTCATAGAATGTACACTAATAGTTGGCAATACTTGTTTAAGCTAAGTGTACAGCAAGCTTCCGTGTCGATTACTACGTCTCTCCTCCTTAGAGCTAGTTGTTGTTCGATAAGCACTGTCTTAACGATAAATTATGAAACATTTAAAGCGTTTATTAATTGTTTTAAAAGTGATTTCAACCTTGCTTCACGCTTTATGATTCAAAATCGATTGCGAAGAGACCGGGAATATTGTTACTGATAAGCTGAATACTCGTCTTTTGCTAATCGTTATATTTATTGGGTGCTTATTTGTACGCAAATAATGGATAAATTTGTCTTAAAGCGAGGATATCGGCGGAGACTATCATTAACTTACTTACAAATCACCACAGATTTGTTGATGAACTATTAAACTTAACAATGTCTAGATCAAGTAGTTTTCTGAAGGGTTGAGTAGGTCTTTGGAATTGCCCCATATAGTGTTGGTCCCGTATGATGGAGTAGTCTAGTACGAAAACGAAACATCTGTCCAACGTCTCCTGGTTTTAAATAGCTATGTAACTAAAGTCACTTCATGGTATACATTATGAATCTTGACTATCTCATATTCTTATAGCATTAGGTATTCTATGTATTAAAAATACAACACATCGTAACTTTCAAATAATGTATAATAGACACTTTCATTTATCGTCACTGTTCTTTTTCATTTTCTGTGAAATAAACAAGAAATTCGTCACCACTCGACCATTGCTTGCACTTTTAATTCTTGGAGTACCAGCATTAATGTTCAGTGGAATTGTCTACTTATGTTGTTGTTTGGATGCAAATTATGCAACTTATGATGATGGTGAAGATGACCAACATTCTAATTATGACATTTACCATAAAGAATTATCAAATCAAAAGATTATTGGCACTGATAATCCCATTGGTGATAGATCAATTGTCGACTCAAATTCAAGCTATTTGGATTCTACTAGTAGTAGCAGCAGTAGTAGTGGTATCAGTGCAACAAAGACTGTTCATTTCCAAGATATGCATAATTCTCCTCCACGTCGACGATATCATCGTGAAGTTTTGCGTAACAGCAATAAAAATATTCAGAATATTGGTAAGTTTTGTCCACATCATTAATTTACTTAACGACTGACTTGTTGTTCTTCTGCAGTTGTGATATTGTTTTCAAATGTTTCAATGTTTGACTACTGAATTTTATAAGTGAAAAAACTCTAACTTGATAATTCTTGGATCACCAACTTATAGTCACGTAGAGTAGTGGCTTACTGATTAAGATGTTCGACTTTCACTTACTAATTTGCAGGTTTGAACCGTGATCCTTGTACTCTAGCCAACCCGTCATCAACATAGAACTAGTCACAGATACGAGCTGGTTCAAGTTGCCATATCGTATTAACATGACGAGATGAAATGAGTTAACATATAGAGATAATGTAATAGCAATGAAAATGCGAAGGAGTGAACGTTGGGAATATTGTTTGAAAAGACAGAATTGAAAGGGTATTTATGACGGAATACTAGAAATCAAGATTGAGCGCTATTATGAATCATTTGGAGTTATGTCACTTCAGTTGGTGGAACTGTGTAGAAGTGCTGTAATGTTCAGTGTACTTTATAGTTCTAATATGAATTTGTAACTGGTGGGTTTCAATCATATCGGGCATGAAACATTAATTTATAATATCATGAGTTAGTAGTAGTTAAGAATGCTAACTAAATCGTCTTTAGATAAAGTTCTCAACTCAACTGCTAATGATTCTGGTTCTAATTGTTGTTGAGATTGTGATTGTGTACTATTAAGGAATCTGTAGCTATGATGAATTAACTGTCCATTGCTTCCAAACTGTCAATGTTACTTTGGTTATGGTGGCTCATTTATTAATACATCTGATTTCCAACTTCTGAGCCTCAAATCGGAACCCCGCTTCACCAACTTCAATTTGGAAAACTAAGTGTGACTCGAAGCAAAGCATATCAATCCGTACCTGACGAGTTGAATAACTAGTTAAGTTCCAATTCGCTATGTAAAAAATGCATTGACCTATTTTAGAAGATTCTTTGTGATGATAATAAATCATTTATTGCCTTCTTCATATCTCATATTTGACATTTCTTGTTAAACTACTAAATTACCGAAACCACCGATAATTGACAATTGTACGGAAGATTTAAAAGATGACTATGGGTCACACAAAATAAAATCCATAAAAGAATAGCTGTATATCATTCCGTTTGAAAACGATGTATATTTTGTCAGTAACAAGTTATGAAGATCATTGAGTTTCGTTGAAATCATTAACCCATCCAAGTTAAAACATCATTGAAAGTTCGGAAGCACTAGACAGCCGTTTCATCATAGTATGGGACTCCTCAGAAGCACACATCCACGACCACACACATGGGAACTGAACTTAGGATCTTCGATCTCCCACGCGAACGCCTAACCTCTAAACCACTGAGTCATCATTCAATGGTGTTAATGCTTAACTACAATCATTGCACGACGTTTTGTGACCATCTTCCATTGTATTCTTCTGGTAACTTCCTCACATTTAACACGGTTGAACTCCACTAGTCACAGTTTCTCATTAGAACTCCGTAAATTCTATCTCGAAGCTAGTCACTAATGAGCATATGATTTTTGTTAGTAGAGGTTGTGAAGATTGTTAAATCTTATTGAAATCATGAACCAATATATATTTTGTCAAAAGAGTAACATTTCTTTATGAATTATACTTTGTATATAATACAGGTCCTGTTTATTCAAAGGATGAATTAGAGAAGAGAATTAAAGATTCACGTGCGAAATTAAAGAAGCAAGCATAACTGTATTTCTACTTTCCATTCATTCATTCATCAGCACAGAATGATTACAATGACCTAAGTGCATAATAGTTTATTTTCTCCAATCACGTATGTATTACACATATCAATTTGTGTAACACTGATAAGCGTACGTTTGAATTGCACTCACCGTTTTCTTTCTTTTTTACAATATCTTGATTTTACATACCCTTATTATCATCATCATTCTGGATGAGTTTTTCTTTCCAAAGAGAAACAATAAAAAACAACTCATTTATTTCTCGTATCTTTGAATTTTATTACTCAATGTATGCATTTATTCATCATATATATATATTCCTAATGTTGCGTTATATAATTGAATACACTGTTAGTTTAATCAAGTATCATCCTCTCTTCATCATATATGCAGGGATGGTACTTCATGTATTTATTTTATTATATATTTCGTCTTCCTGTATGTGTGAGCGAATGCGAACCTACACCTGGCTATATTTATTGAGTGATAACCGGACAGTCACACATACACAATCACGCATACACCCAGTATAAACACACTCACACGATCACATACACACACACACACAAACAAACACACGCATTTACACTAATACACATGGATTCGCTGAACACTCGTCATTATCTCATGTCAGATGTCTGTCAATGTCTGTGGCTTGTCAAGAATTCTCACGATGATTTTGTGATTGTGAGACGTGAATCATTGTATGTTGATCGGTTCAAGCATTCATTCGTATTGCGACTGTCGACCATCCATATATGGTGTTGTGCACATGAGGAGACTTCTCGAGATCCAGACTGATCGATACCAACACCAATTGACAACGGATCAAGTGATACTGTCTACACTTCAATAGTTTTCAGGACAATGCTGTCTCAACACGAGCACTCAGTGACCATCATGTTGTCCATTCGACTAGGATTCGAAGAGGACGTTGACGAGTGTGCTGTGACTGGAACTCATCGTCCATTGTCACCAACAAATGCATTGTTTCTAACAGGATTTATCCTACGAGCGATGTAGTCGACATTGCTTCACTGGCAGATATCATTTCGGACCGGATAGTATTGAGCACATGGTATGTGGTAGAGAATCGCAACAGCAATGTGCTGGACATAGATTGCGCTGAGACACTGGTCTCTGTGTATCGTTCTCTCAGGATGGTGTGCAATATGGTCGATACACTAGGTGATATCACGGTCGATTTCAAGTGATGCCGTATGTCAATGTGTTGAATGTTCTGAGTGGAGTGTTTCAGGTGTGCTGATGGTCGAGTCGGTTGTGTGTAATTGGTAGATTTGGGTTTGTGGTGGAGTGGATCATGGTTGGTCATTACAGTTGTCTGAGAGTATGACGAGTGTGACTGCAAGAAGCCGGTGTTGTGTGGAGCGAACCTGTGCTGGTGCTGGTACTTTGTGTTGGGTGCTCGTGACTGGTCGGTGACTCTACTGGATTGTGGTGACAGATGCTGTGTGTCTTGACGTGGTGTTGGTGAACATGTCGGTTGACAGGTTGATAGGAGAATGCGTGCTAGTGTGAGTTGTAGTCTGTCATTGGGAGTGAACAGTCAAATGATTGTTTAGTTGTGTTGCTGGCAGCTGTGTTTGTTGATGGATTTTGTTTGTGTGTGTTAGTGTACGCGAGCGTCAGGACTTTGTGGATATGCAGCATGTGAGTATGTGTTCGCCTAGTCGAGGAGACGTTGTTGTACTTGTTTTGTGGAGTTGTGCGAGTTGATGCGAGAGGGTGTGGCAACGGTCGTTTCCGTGGTGTAGTGGTCATCACGTCTGTCTAACACACAGAAGGTCCCCAGTTCGAACCTGGGCGGAAACATGCTTTTCAAATAACAAACAACTCTCAGAAACATACCGACACTGCGACAACATCCATCAACCACACCATACGGACTCTCGCTTTGTCAATGTGTACATCGACACAGCTGCTCCGTGACCAACGCGTTCGCGTATGTGTGAGCGAATGCGAACCTACACCTGGCTATATTTATTGAGTGATAACCGGACAGTCACACATACACAATCACGCATACACCCAGTATAATCACACTCACACTCACACGATCACATACACACACACAAACAAACACACGCATTTACACTAATACACATGGATTCGCTGAACACTCGTCATTATCTCATGTCAGATGTCTGTCAATGTCTGTGGCTTGTCAAGAATTCTCACGATGATTTTGTGATTGTGAGACGTGAATCATTGTATGTTGATCGGTTCAAGCATTCATTCGTATTGCGACTGTCGACCATCCATATATGGTGTTGTGCACATGAGGAGACTTCTCGAGATCCAGACTGATCGATACCAACACCAATTGACAACGGATCAAGTGATACTGTCTACACTTCAATAGTTTTCAGGACAATGCTGTCTCAACACGAGCACTCAGTGACCATCATGTTGTCCATTCGACTAGGATTCGAAGAGGACGTTGACGAGTGTGCTGTGACTGGAACTCATCGTCCATTGTCACCAACAAATGCATTGTTTCTAACAGGATTTATCCTACGAGCGATGTAGTCGACATTGCTTCACTGGCAGATATCATTTCGGACCGGATAGTATTGAGCACATGGTATGTGGTAGAGAATCGCAACAGCAATGTGCTGGACATAGATTGCGCTGAGACACTGGTCTCTGTGTATCGTTCTCTCAGGATGGTGTGCAATATGGTCGATACACTAGGTGATATCACGGTCGATTTCAAGTGATGCCGTATGTCAATGTGTTGAATGTTCTGAGTGGAGTGTTTCAGGTGTGCTGATGGTCGAGTCGGTTGTGTGTAATTGGTAGATTTGGGTTTGTGGTGGAGTGGATCATGGTTGGTCATTACAGTTGTCTGAGAGTATGACGAGTGTGACTGCAAGAAGCCGGTGTTGTGTGGAGCGAACCTGTGCTGGTGCTGGTACTTTGTGTTGGGTGCTCGTGACTGGTCGGTGACTCTACTGGATTGTGGTGACAGATGCTGTGTGTCTTGACGTGGTGTTGGTGAACATGTCGGTTGACAGGTTGATAGGAGAATGCGTGCTAGTGTGAGTTGTAGTCTGTCATTGGGAGTGAACAGTCAAATGATTGTTTAGTTGTGTTGCTGGCAGCTGTGTTTGTTGATGGATTTTGTTTGTGTGTGTTAGTGTACGCGAGCGTCAGGACTTTGTGGATATGCAGCATGTGAGTATGTGTTCGCCTAGTCGAGGAGACGTTGTTGTACTTGTTTTGTGGAGTTGTGCGAGTTGATGCGAGAGGGTGTGGCAACGGTCGTTTCCGTGGTGTAGTGGTCATCACGTCTGTCTAACACACAGAAGGTCCCCAGTTCGAACCTGGGCGGAAACATGCTTTCCAAATAACAAACAACTCTCAGAAACATACCGACACTGCGACAACATCCATCAACCACACCATACGGACTCTCGCTTTGTCAATGTGTACATCGACACAGCTGCTCCGTGACCAACGCGTTCGCGTATGTGTGAGCGAATGCGAACCTACACCTGGCTATATTTATTGAGTGATAACCGGACAGTCACACATACACAATCACGCATACACCCAGTATAAACACACTCACACTCACACGATCACATACACACACACACACAAACAAACACACGCATTTACACTAATACACATGGATTCGCTGAACACTCGTCATTATCTCATGTCAGATGTCTGTCAATGTCTGTGGCTTGTCAAGAATTCTCACGATGATTTTGTGATTGTGAGACGTGAATCATTGTATGTTGATCGGTTCAAGCATTCATTCGTATTGCGACTGTCGACCATCCATATATGGTGTTGTGCACATGAGGAGACTTCTCGAGATCCAGACTGATCGATACCAACACCAATTGACAACGGATCAAGTGATACTGTCTACACTTCAATAGTTTTCAGGACAATGCTGTCTCAACACGAGCACTCAGTGACCATCATGTTGTCCATTCGACTAGGATTCGAAGAGGACGTTGACGAGTGTGCTGTGACTGGAACTCATCGTCCATTGTCACCAACAAATGCATTGTTTCTAACAGGATTTATCCTACGAGCGATGTAGTCGACATTGCTTCACTGGCAGATATCATTTCGGACCGGATAGTATTGAGCACATGGTATGTGGTAGAGAATCGCAACAGCAATGTGCTGGACATAGATTGCGCTGAGACACTGGTCTCTGTGTATCGTTCTCTCAGGATGGTGTGCAATATGGTCGATACACTAGGTGATATCACGGTCGATTTCAAGTGATGCCGTATGTCAATGTGTTGAATGTTCTGAGTGGAGTGTTTCAGGTGTGCTGATGGTCGAGTCGGTTGTGTGTAATTGGTAGATTTGGGTTTGTGGTGGAGTGGATCATGGTTGGTCATTACAGTTGTCTGAGAGTATGACGAGTGTGACTGCAAGAAGCCGGTGTTGTGTGGAGCGAACCTGTGCTGGTGCTGGTACTTTGTGTTGGGTGCTCGTGACTGGTCGGTGACTCTACTGGATTGTGGTGACAGATGCTGTGTGTCTTGACGTGGTGTTGGTGAACATGTCGGTTGACAGGTTGATAGGAGAATGCGTGCTAGTGTGAGTTGTAGTCTGTCATTGGGAGTGAACAGTCAAATGATTGTTTAGTTGTGTTGCTGGCAGCTGTGTTTGTTGATGGATTTTGTTTGTGTGTGTTAGTGTACGCGAGCGTCAGGACTTTGTGGATATGCAGCATGTGAGTATGTGTTCGCCTAGTCGAGGAGACGTTGTTGTACTTGTTTTGTGGAGTTGTGCGAGTTGATGCGAGAGGGTGTGGCAACGGTCGTTTCCGTGGTGTAGTGGTCATCACGTCTGTCTAACACACAGAAGGTCCCCAGTTCGAACCTGGGCGGAAACATGCTTTCCAAATAACAAACAACTCTCAGAAACATACCGACACTGCGACAACATCCATCAACCACACCATACGGACTCTCGCTTTGTCAATGTGTACATCGACACAGCTGCT